GGAAGCAATTTTAATGAGCAAGAGGTCACATGTTGAGGTCAAAGGTCACTGATATTTTACAACCTTAATTGAAATTAAGGCACTGAAAGGCGCTGAAGCCCTGACTGAAGGATTTAAAATGGAGATGCAACTTACTTACCGATAGAAAGCTGCGGTATCGATCAACCGATATCCGCTATGCAAAGCAAACTTCACCGCTTTGACAGTCTCTTCCGGGCTGGCTTTGTACACTCCCAAACCAAATATTGGCATTTTATTGCCATCGTTCAGTGTGACTTTTCTTGCAATGCCTTCGCCTTCCATTTACTGTACAGATAAATGGGCCGCTTCCGAGTTGTCTTTTGTCTCTGAGTTAAAACGAGCCTTCGTGCGAAACCATTCATATGAAAATGTGTTCCGCCCAAAGGTTCATTCTTGTGCAAATCAAACTCATTTTTGTGTTAACAGAGGTAAGTATTTCCCTGAGGGACCGCCCTAATCATGTATCTATGGTAACTGTCGACATCAAGTGTTTGGAATAGAGGTCATAGAGGAGTTTTGAAAATTAACAATGTAAATATGAAAGGACTTTTAGAAAGTCTAGGAGAAGTTTCGGTAAGATACTTCCAAGTAATTTACCGCGCGCGGAATGTTATGAGTTCCTGGTGATCAGTGCCGCGGCAAACTTCAACTTATTAGACTGTAGAATACAAATACTTGTAAGCCAAAGATGGCATTCAAATCTGTCGCAAGACCGATGGAAATACCGTGTATAAATAAAGTTGTCGTATCGTATCGTGGGTAAGTAATTTTTTGTCCACTCCCTTATGGCTCGTCACGCGATCATTCCCGTTCAAGGGAAGATGGCAGGTGTCTGTATAGACGGTTGGTGGTCGCTAACTCTCCGCCATTCCCTTCTAGGCTACCCCAACAGTTTAGCAGTGACTATTTTTAGCCTAAGTGCTAAAAAGTGGTGACCGGGGGTGGTGAGAGCGGCTTTACCAATGAAATGTTTTTCCCAAGAATACAATGTAATGACCTGTCCCTGATTTCTGGAATTGTCAAAACCACGCCCCACACCTATTTTAGAGCACTATCTGGAACACTATGGCGGCTGACCAAATTTCTCCCAGCAGCTCGGTTCTAGAACACGGTTCCTTCTTTTGGTCCTTGTAAGTAGTTCGCTTCTCTATTCTTTACAATTCTTGTTCCTTCTTCAGAAGTTCTTCAAACTCTTTTCCACAGATTTAGTTTCGCTGACCTGTTAAGCCTTCCTCTACAAATCTTATAAAGCATTGCTTCTAATGCGTTTTACACTAACCTAGAACAAACGCCACTTAACAGATGTCATCAACTACCGGCGCCTTACAAACGACTTATCCATGACGGAAAGGAAACCGACAAAAGGACTTCGAGCAGACCGACTTAATTTGACTAACAATAGACGGACCAAAAACCGACCAATTTGACTAACAGTAGACGGATCGAAACCCACCAGTGACTGATGACAAACTTTACACGAGTCTTTCAGCCAATATCATTATGGCTAAACTGATCAATCATGTTCAACGGACCAAACTTATGACATCATCGACCAACAAAAACTATTCACTTGACTCTGAAGATGACTTCCGCTCAGGTTGTCGAAACGTCAGTCACCAACAACAGTTCTTTTCAGAGCTACTCTCACCCGGACGATTACACTATACGAACTACTGATACTCCTGGGTTCAAACCATTTACTGTAACACAGTATACATCCTTAGCCTCGCACTCATGTTTCCAGACAAAGGATTTTTCACATGAATGTGAGGCGTGGGGTGTATAAGTATTGTTATTCAAATCAGAGGCGCCATGTATGCAAAGGGTCTATTACATGTACATATACAGTACTTAACACTGAATAAATTGATTGCTTGATCATTATCAAATATTGCCACCCGAGAAATGTATGCTTAATCAATTCAACACACAGTAAAATTACAACTAATCAAAACGTTTTCGCCATTTTACGAGACTGTAAAGCGCCCAGCCAACTTCATATAAGAATTGATTGAGTTCTCTTGGAAATGTATCGCAAACCTTTCCCTGGGTTGCCAAGAAATGCACTTTCTGGCAATATGTCTCCGGACCATCCGGAGACATATTTAAAACTATAAATGCCAAGACAGAGATGCGATGTCCCATGATCGACAGACCAAAATATACCTGTTTGTTATCAGTAAAACTGAACACCAAGTTGCGTCATATAATGTACGCCTTTCTTGAAGCTCAAAGATCGTCAAAAAGTAAATGTTAATACAAGTAAAACACTTTTTAATAAGTGCAACACATCTTGGGACACTTAATTTTTTTTCTTATGCAGTCAATTTCCGTGACTCGACACAACAGAAATAGTCAATTCAGCTTCTATCCTATCCAGGGACAGTCCGTCACGCCCTTCAACGGAGTGCAGCACTGCTCTGTTGGCAATGAATCCTGTCAGTGAAAAAAGTACATAAAAAAGGCTGTAAAATAATTGTATTTTTGCCATTCATGTGCGCCAGGGTAAAACTGAACTACTTAATGTTACACGCTCACAACATTAAAGCATTCTCGAGTTATACGGGGGGACCTTTACAGCAGTCAAAAGTAAAAATCTGGATTGCTATGTCTGCAAGAGTTTGAAGGGTAAGTGTATGGCTAACAAATTACGAGGCAATAAATTACGTTCTATGAATAAACGGCGTACGAGAAGGAAGAGGAGTTCATAAAATTGAGACATTAGTGAGACGGTTATGATGAAGGAAACTCCGCATGCGCAGTGCGTGTGCCCGCTCCGGAGGCACACAACGAGTCGCACACAACGAACTACGAAAGGAAAGAGAAATGGGTGAGAGTGAGTGACAGAGGTTCCATTTTGGTATCCCATGTCACATGATCTCTTCATGTTTACACTCGATAAAAATACCAAACATCTCTTGCTACCCTTGGATTCACTAAAACATTTTCTGTAGAGCGTGGAAGTACAACGTCTTACTAAAACTATATTTTAATATCTTAGGAGTAAGAACGAGATCACACATTTAAAGACGATACACACACTCTTAAATTTGAAAGAAATGTTTCGTATTTACTCGAATAAGCGTCGCCCCCGAATAAGCGCCGCCCTCGATTAAGCGTGGCACATGGGGTGGAAAAGTTAACAAGCGCCGCCCTCGAATAAGCACCGCAGCTGCGGTGCGGCGCTTATTCGAGTATTGTTTGTTGTGTTAGTAAAAGTGCTTGAGGGAAACTGAACTACTTTTACATGCACAGACTAAGATAAAGTGCATCCTGTGTTAGATCCTGTGAACTTTACGCAACAGTCAGAACATTGACATCGAGTGAAACGTTGAAAACCTGCAGAAAAGTATTCACGAGACTGTTATGAAAGCCAAAACTTAGGAGGTTTGGTTCAAGCCTGTAAGCCATGAAAAATACTCGTGAAGTTAATTAAATTGTACAATCAAAATGTTTTGTCTTTGTGGTATGAGCTTTTTAACTAAGCACAGCCCTCGAATAAGCGCCGCAACGGAGACACGAAAAATTAAATAAGCACCACGGCGCTTATTCGAGTAAATACGGTACTCCTTATCCATCATTAGCTTAATTAAGGATGTTCACAAGTAACAAAGACTAAATATGCAAAAGGTGATAAAATAACGTGTGCGTATTTTCTTTAAATCTGTGCAACTATACTGTTCAGAAAAAAACAACAATCAAGAATTTTCGGCTCGAATCTGAGATTTCTCTCGAGAGGGTAGCCAATTCACAAAACGAAAAAGGACGCCTGTTGTCAGTGATTCCAGTTAGTTTGATAAAACTTACCAGAGTTTTCATATCATCGTCGCTTATAGTAAAGTCAAAAATGTCGGCGTTTTCCTGAATCCTTTCTGGTTTGGATGACTTGGGAATGGTGATGAAATCTTTCTGTACACTCCAGCGAATGAGAAGCTGTGGAACTGTTTTCTTGTACCTGCAACGATTTTCAAACAAAGTACCAGTGTTTCAGCTTTCGAAAGAAAGAAATTTCAGCTTTTAGAAGGAAATTCTGTAATTTTCGTTGGTGATTTCCTTCGTGAAGAATGTGCTCCATTTGAAGTTTTCCCGTAAAACAAGACGACGGTGAACGACGATGGTGACGAGTGAAATTAGGAAATAATTTCACGAGCATTTTGTCAAAACTCTTATAATTTAACGGAGAAACAACAACAACATGATATTAAGTGTAAATTCTGGGGGAAACTCATACTCGTTAAAAATCCGAGTCCCAGTTGGAATTTAAACCCACGACCCTCCGTGATCTAGTCGAATGCTCTAACCACTGAGTTACTGGAGACTCTATCGTGAGCAAGGGTCAAATCGTGAGTATCGACTGGAACCGCATCGCGCGGCTACGCAGCCNTGACCCTTGCTCACCACAGAGTCTCCAGTAGCTCAGTGGTTAGAGCATCCGACTAGATCACGGAGGGTCGTGGGTTCAAATCCCAACTGGGACTCGGATTTTTTCCGAGTATACGTTTCTTCCAGAATTTACATTTAATGTCTTATAATTTAATTTGACAAAATGCAAGTGTGAAATATGATTTCTTTATTTTACACGTACACGAATGTATGCCATTTGAAGAGTTTTTAACATCATGGGTGACATCATTTGGGGAGTAAGGTTGGCGCAGGAGTGAGAGCGCTCGTCTGCCACCAATGTGTCCTGGGTTCGATTTCCGGACCCGGCGTCATATGTGGGTTGAGTTTGTTGTTGGTTCTCGCCTTGCTCCAAGAGGTTTTTCTCCGCGTACTCCAGTTTTCAAAACTACACGCTCAAAATCCTGGGTTTTTGACTTGCTTATTGTATCGAGAAATTTCACGCCAAACGTTGCCATGGCAATTCTATAGTTTCACCTGTTAAATTATAACTTAACGTCGAAATTTCGCGACAAAATTAAGGAGTAATAGACCAATAGGCGATTTGCATGCTGGCGTCATTTGACTACAACTACCAGAATCCTTCACTTTCTCTGTTTCTTATGCTAATTAAGGCAATTGTTATTTAAACCCCACTGGGACTTCAAAATTTATATAATAAAGAAAAAACGAAAGGAATTCTGTTAGTTGTTGTCAAATGACAACAACAAGCAAATCTGCTAATTCGATTATTTAAAATTCAGCCTAAAACAACAGACCTCGGTGCGAGGCTCGGGGGAATAACTGCAGAGTTTGTGGGGTTTATTCCCCAGAGCCTCGTGCTGAAGTCTATTGTGTCAGTCATGATATTATGGTTAGAAATCCACTTACCTACTGGCAATTTCCATTAGAACTGGGTCATCGTTCTTCCGGGCACGAAATATTGGACAGTAACCCATTAAGGCAATTCCTTTTTCTTTACAGTAGTTCACGATGTCTTCCAAGCGCCAATAGGGATTGAGCTCAATTTGATTGACAGCTGGAGTAGGTAGCCCCGCCTTTTCCATCTCTTTGAGGTGATTCACGCCAAAGTTGGACACACCAATGGATCTTGAATGAAGAATAAGTGCGAGTTAAGTAAATTAGGACACGAGAACAAATAAGTCAGGCTTCATCAAGAAAACGGTTTTCACTTCAAGTTTCAAGTTTC